GAGGGATGAAGAGGGCCACTGAGGCCTAGTTCACCGCAGCAGCGCTCTCCATTGTCTCTCTGTAGGTCAAACTCGCTGCTGCAGAGGGAGGGACTTTGGCTTACCCTGTGTGGGTGGAGGAAGGTGGCGGAACAGCCGAAAGTCTTCCTGCCTCTAGAACGTTATTTCCATAACCATTTTGGAGGCTTTAGATGAAGGGAACATCTGGGAAATTTGCCTTAGAGAATCCGATCTTGGTTCTGACAGGATTTTCTGTGACCTTACTTTAGTGGACACTCAAGGGCAGTCAGAGCAGCTGAACTGGAATATGTCCTTATGGTCAGATTATTTCACTGATTATTATTATACTGGTGGAGATTTGCTTAAACTGCTTTTTAATTTTATGATTAGTAGACATTTTGGGATATCTTGGAAATGGTGGGAGCTCATATTAACTAATGGGGTGTTTTTAATTAGAAGCTTTCATAGTGACACTCCTAATATACTCACTTGTTGCTCCACTTGAACTTTCCAAAGAATGTGCAATGTTTATTGCCGTTTTTCCGATCTGAATTGGGGCACTACAACAATTGAAAGTTTAAAAGCAATACATGTATTTTTTAAACGAATTGTTCTTAGTGGTTTCATTCAGTATGTTACAAATACCTTATGAAGGAAGCCTTAAAATTTCATTGGCAACTTCAAAGCTATTAAAATGGTTTCATATACGGAAAATGACCAAACAGCCAAGATAAGTATCAATAAAGAAAAGTCATGAACTTTGATTCATTTTTGCTGCTTGCTTTCTTAGAGCTCCTGGTCAAAGAAGGGTCACTGAAGTCTTGTCTGTATCCTTACTTATTCCATGGAACCTTCTTTCATTAATAGATCCGAGCTGGATCCAGAGTTGTGTACAGACCAATTTCTGCATCAGTGTTATCTCGACCGGAGGCTAGGACCGGAGAGGTAATAGTAATAATAGAAATTAAGTGACACTCCTAAATAAGTCTTACGGTTTTGATTAAAGAGAAAAAATAACACTCATTAATCGAATGGTTTGAAGGCAATCCTTTCTACCCTTTCATGCAGAGAAATGCACAGAAGATAAGCCAATAAAATAAATTTCTGTACCCAAAACTCACTCATCTGATTTGGCTAAGAATTATTGTCAGTATGTATATGTATAGGCTTGAGTTGCCTAGAATTAAGATTATAATAGCTGCAGTTATTGAAAAGCCTACTATATTAAAAAGCATATGTACATATGTTGTTCCTTAATTTTCAACAACTTTATGCGGTGTAGATATTGTTATTCCTATCTTACAAGGTTGGAATTATTTAAAGCCATTGATTATTGTACTACACCACATCCTATTCACACTCGGCTACAAAATAGAGAACTAGTTATTATTTTGACAGTGCGGTAATTAAAATAGCTAACTGTGATTACTGATTTGATCTTTCTTTTATTTCCTGTTCTCTAGGGCTCTACAGTATTTAATGGGGCCCAAAATGGTGTGTCTCGGCTAATCCAAAGGGAGTTTCAGACCAGTGCAATCAGCAGAGATATTGATACTGCTGCCAAATTTATTGGTGCAGGTGCTGCAACAGTAGGAGTGGCTGGTTCTGGTGCTGGTATTGGAACAGTCTTTGGCAGTCTTATCATTGGTTATGCTAGGTAATTTTTTCCATTGCCAAATAAGACCATGTTTGAAATAGTTGGAAACTTAGAAAACTAGTAGAATATAATAGCTACTTTGTATTAAGTGCCTACTCTGTGTCTTGCATTATATTTTGAGGGCTGTGCATGCATTACCTCACTTAATTCCCCACAAGACCTACTGGGGACATACTCCAGTTTACCTATGAAGGATTAGAGACACAGTCTCCAAGTCATAGCTAGTAAGTGTCAGAAAATAAATTTTAACTCAGTTTGACTTCCCAGTCTGCACTCTTTGATTGTCAAACTATATTGGGAATATAATTAAGAGCACATTCTTTAAAAGTCAGTCTCTATTTTATTATTTAAGACCTTACTCCTAAACTATCAGATCTTAAAAGGTATAGAACATACTTTCACAGTCATAAGGAGAATGTCAGAACCCCCCAGAATGAATGAAGACTATTTGTATTGACACACAGAGACAGCTATCTCCCTTTTCCCCATGTAGTTAGGATCCGGAGAAAAGAATGTCAACAGTGAAGCAAGAGATCTAGGCAAACTCTCTCCCAGAACTTTCCAGTTTACAAAGATCCCCACACTAGTAATCTGATTCTTTAACACTTACCAGACATAATGAAATTCAAATAATATTTCAAAGTAACAAATGTGTTGTGTCTCTTTTAGAAACCCTTCGCTGAAGCAGCAGCTGTTCTCATATGCTATCCTGGGATTTGCCTTGTCTGAAGCTATGGGTCTCTTTTGTTTGATGGTTGCTTTCTTGATTTTGTTTGCCATGTAACAAATTACTGCTTGAAATGTTGGCATTCATATTAATTACGGATGTAATTCTGTGTACCTTACTGTGACTCCGAACACTGTAGTATTGGTGTCATGGAAATAGACGTTATTTCCAAAGTCATTTCATTAAAGATGAAAACTTTCATTTTTGCTGTGATTTGTACTTACCTAAATTTAGATCATCACAAAGAAGGACATGCATTCAGGCAGATGTTGTACAAGTCAGAAGGAACTGCAGCAGTTGCCTCACTGATGAAAAAAATCCTAATGTAATTTTATGGGAATTCTTTTATAGTGTTCTGTGCATTGTAAATGGTAGGGGATTTGTTTATTCATTAAAGGAGAAATATATGAGTGATTTGAGCTTCTTTGAAATATGATTAAACCAAGACAGATAACTGCTTGAGGTGGTTTTGAATTTTTAAGGGCTAACATGAATTCAGTACTTGGAAGAAGGATCACTTTCCAAGAGTAATTTGGCTGGTCTTACACAGCTGGATCTAAAAATCATGTCAGCTTTTTAGGAATTGGAGCCTTGTTAAATAGGGGTGGGAAGCAACTTTTACTTTTTAGTAAGTTTCTAAGCAGTTGTGTATCTATATTGAATCTTACCTGTTTTCTAAGAAGAAGCTTAATCTAGCAGCTGGTTTCTTGCTTAAACAAGGCTCATTAAAAAAACATATTATCAAAAAGTAAATTGAATTAGCTACATTTTTAAAGCCAAAAGTTGCTGAAGCATTGCTTATCATTGATACTAATAGGTTTACAGTAGGAGTCTTGGAACTAATAGTTGGTTCAATACTGTTTTGTTTGTATATGTTGCTTGGTCAAATTTTCCTATTAAAAGGAAGAAAGTAGTGCTACCATAGAAACACTGAGTTTTCCACTAGCAGATACGTTGTGCCGCTACATCATTTGTCATCTTAATTTCAGGGTTTCCATGAAGGTTAAGATGACAATGAAGAAACCTGCATCTTACTCCTTTAATGTCTTCTGCCTAATGATCTCAATGAGTCATCAATTACCGTATTTGCCATGCATAATGCACTCCCCAGTTTACGCATGGGAAATGTGCTGTGCACCCATATTTTGGGCCCAGACTTTCAGGGGAAAAGAAAATCTTCCATTTTAATTTTTTATTCAATTTTTGTATTTATTTAAATTTAGAAACAAAACCAATTATATTCCAGGGTATTATTTTGCATACAGACATCGCTATTGCTTTCTAGAGTTAAATTTATGACACATAAGCATAAATAAAAGAATTAAAAACATTTACATAGATGGGGAATTTAGTACTATATAATGTGCATCCTTATTTTTCCCTCAAAAATTTGGGCAAAAAAGTGAATTACACATGGCAAAATACAGTACCAGGGTTTCTCAGTAGTATGGGAAGACCACCTGAGACCACAAAAAGCTAGAGCTACTACTGCTTTGTTGTTGGTTAATTATCTAGTCTAGGGATGTCAAGCTCATTTTCAGAAACAAGGTGGAGGGCTGGATTCCGCCTGCAGGCCTTGTGTTTGCTACCTGTGATCTAGTCTGTAACATCCTGGAGCCTTCACTGTTGTTTGAGCAGTACTACCCAGTATTTGAACTCAGCCATGTAACATAAAAACACTATTATTACCCAGCAATTCTATACCTTCGTATATACCCAAAAGATTTAAAAACGAGTGTTCAAACAAAAAAGAATTTTTATAGCACTATTCACAATAGGTAAAAGGCAGAAACAATCAGTTAATCAACTGATCAATGGGTAAACAAGGTATATCCATATAGTGGAATATTGTGCAGTCATAAAAATGCATGAGGTACTGATACATGCTACATCAATGAACCTTGAAAACATGGTAAGTGAAAAAAGCCAGACACAAGACTGCATACTTCGGAGGCGTCTGCCCACATGGCCTCCAGCCCTCCCTGTTTGTGACAGATGAGAATAAGTCTACCAAGACATGATCTGCTTGGGGAGGAAAGGTGGCTGGTCTCAGAAGGGCCAGGAGCCTTTTCCTCAGTGGGCTTTTATTGTGTTCAATATGCATAGGAATACAGATAAAGCTCACCAATCATTGTCAGCAATAAGGATAAAATAATAGATAACATACAGAGAACTGTGAGGGCTTTACAATAGCATAGCGAGAACTATGAGGGCTTATTTGGGTCAGTGCCAGTTAGTTAAAAGGGCTTTAAAACTCAGTTACAAACTCAGCTCCTGTGTGGACCCTTATCAGAAAGCAGGACATTCTTAGCAAAGCAGGTTTCACAGGATTTTATGCATTCTTTCTTAGGCCTGATTGCCCCAGGGAACCCACCCTTTCCAGCACAGGGCTGTACCCACCTCCAGCATTGTTTTAGGCTTAAGTCACTCAGAAGAAGTGAGGCAGACGAGATTAGATTAGGAGACTTCTCAAAGACAGAATGAGGACTCAAGCTATGTCAAAGCCGAGGGGTGAGGGTCCACCACCCCCTTTTTCTATAGCCCCCCAACTCCTTCCCTGAGAGCTCCTTTGTGACCATGCCTGTCTTAGGTCCTCCCTCCCGTGAGGAATCTTACCTGTTATTGACTAACCAGTCATCCACCTAGGGCTTAGCAGGATGAAGTAACAGGGGACAGTGGCTCCTCCCAGGAAGATAAGCTTTGTCTCCTTAGTGGCTTATGGTCCCCAGGTCTCTTTACTCAGCCTTTGCCCTGGGGGATTACAGCTTCTGAAACCAGGCAGGGTGGTCCCCAACACATTATATGATTCCATTTATATGAAATATCCAGAATAGGCAAATCCATAGATACAGCAGCTGGGAAGATGGGAAGAATAAGAAGTGACTGCTTAATGGGTATGTGGGTTCCTCTTGGAGTAATAAAAATATTCTGGAAATACATAGTGGTGATGGTTGCACAATATCGTGAATGTACTAAATGCCACTGAATTGGTATAGTTTAAAATGGTTAAAATGGCAAATACATTTTAGTACAATTAAAGTACTACTGTTAACACAAAGTACATAGTATTATTCATACCCCATTTTTTAAATCCTAGGGAAATACATAGATTACTCAGTCCTCTGTCCCAAGTTTGTTTAAGTCAATTTGTCTTTAAAAACAAATTGTTCTTAGTGTTGGTTTGGGAGTTGGTTGAAGAATCCTGAAACATTGATTTTGGAACAGGCAAGAGAGGCCTCTAGCTGAAGAGATTGAAAATGGAAAGAAATATCTGGGCTGTGGCTGTGTGACTTCCATGTTAATGAGAAAAAAAAACAAGGTCTTTAGAAAGTCAGTATAAGTGAAGTATAACCACAGCCTATTTGACCTGGAAGGCAAAAGGACATTGAAAGGATCAGCATCCTGGAGTATATCCCCCCACTGTACTTTACTCTCCAGTAACAAGTTTCTGATATTGAAAGTACCTCACTGGGACACCTGTGCTCTGACAGCAGAGGTGTTTACTGTGCACCATTTTACAGGAAGTACCACCTCCTTTGGTTCATGCGCCTTACAAACAAATATTAATGGTATATGCTTTTCACCAGCTTTCCTTATTTCTGAACAAAGTCCAATCATGTTCACATCAAACATCAAATGAATTCATGTTGATAAGAGTTTGGTCTATTTAAAAAGTTCAGTAGGTAAGAGCACCTGACGGTGGCAGTGTGTCAATTCAACTGTATGTATTCAGAATATTGTTCCCAAGGGCATTTATTTTCCAGGCACATTTTTTCTTTGGTATTAAATCATTACCTTTCCTTGGTACAGAAATGTGGTATTATTAATGCCTTTAGCACTGACTAAAAAATATAGGCTTGAGTATGAAATGTGTTTGAACTAAAGAGAAATTTGCTATCTAGCCTCACACACTAGATATGTATGAAAATAACTAAAACTCAGAATGGTTAAGTTCCAGAAGAGCGACAGTAAGGTATAAGTTGTTCAAAGTATATAGAAAGAATTTCCAGTGATGGAATCACATGAAGAAATGTCTACAAATTAAGCTAAGCATTAAGGAAGTGGTGGAATGAAGACAACCAAGAAAAGAGGGTATGTTGGCTAGTGGAGAACATCAGGAAAGGTATGTGAGACACAAAGAGCTGCCTGGGTGTGGGAGGGAAATAGTGTGAGATGAGGCTGCAAAGACTGGGGCCAAACTATGTAAACTGGCAGACACTGGAATGTGGGTTTTATTCAGGTGACTAGTCAGCCTTTGCAGGTTTAGAGATGTGTTTTAGGAAAGCTAATGTAAGACCAGTGTGTGGGATAAACTAGGGCCGGTAACAATCAGTGGTTACTGTACTAGCTTTGCTGAGACAATGAGGGCCTAGTCTAGGATAGTGGCAGTAAGTTGTTTTTTTGTTTTTGAGTCTACAAAAGTATCAGTAGGATTTGATATCTGGATCTTGGGAACTAGTTAGGGAAGGAGAGGGTGTGTACATCAAATAAGTCATTTACAACATGACAACCCTGCAAAATTGGGATTACTCATCAAGATACAGAGAAAAATAGGCTCAGGGGTTAAACAATTCCCCACCCAAATCACAGCCATTAACTGGCAAAGTCACGATTCAAATTTAGATCTTCCTTGATTCCAAAGTCGATGCTTTGATTTTCAGTATGACTATGTTAGGGATGACAAGAAAAAAGCTGATTTTGGGAAAGTGATTATTTTGTTATACAATTTTAAATACAAAATAGAAATATAATTTTACGAAGAGACTTGTGGGCTTGAACAGAGTTAAGCTGTGGTTTATGGTATGGAGTAGATGTTAATAAAAGAAGTGCAGAGTAGCAGTTAAGGACCCAGCTCCAGGTAGGTAACATGAATTTGTAGTGAACCTACAATCTGTGATCAAGTTGATGATTGGCTAATGTTGGACAGAAATGAATGCCAATGAAGTTTATGGAGGAACTGTAGACATGGAAAAGTAACATGAGAACCAAATAAACTATACTTATGCTGCTTCTGACATAAGTTAGTTTTAAATTCCATTAATTGATTTTAGACAATATGGTATGATTTGGATGATACGTGTTTGGGACAGGAAGTTTGTATTGTTACGGTACTAGCCTCTGCAAAGCCTCTTAAAATGTGATTTCTAAACATGAAATAATGAGTTGAATTTTCTACATGCTGAGCATATGTTAATTTAGTAATTTCATGGTATAACTACACTAACATTATGAACTTAAGTTCCAAACAGAGTCCATTAATAATGTGCCTGATTCTTGATTTGGGGCGACACTGTTTGTTTTTAAAGCTCTAATGCCATCCTCCTCTGCCTCAACAAACAGGGCGGTTGGATTCTGTCTCAGTCAGTAGCAACATTATGCCTTAGCTTGCTTTGATGTAGAGATAGAGAGTGGTAGACAAAACTTTCAGGATTTATAAGAAACTCTTTTTATAGCTTTTTAAAAAATATGTATCACATGAGTTTACGTCTCTCTTCTCTCTGCCCATCCCTATCCTACCCTCTCCCCCACCCTACTGCTTCCAACACACACAAGTTCACTCATGCATGCATTTATAGGCTTTCTGGTGATGTTTACAGCATGACACACCAAGGCATTGCTACGCAAAGTGAGGTCTACGGGTCAGCAGCATTGGCATACCTGGGAGCTTGTCAGAACTACAGGTTCTAGAGCTTTACCCCAGAACTTCTGAACCAGAATATGAATTTTTTACAAGGATCTAAGGTAATTAAATTTTTTAATGTAGATACATTAAATTTTGAGAACCACTATATGAAAATACTGCAATTTTTAACATACTGTGCCTTAAGACTCCTTATCTTTCAAAACTGTCCACTCACTGGAAGATCCCTCTCTTCCTTCCTATTGGAATGTACTGCTATTCTGTGATTCTTGAAGTGTGGCCTGAGGACTTCTGAGGCTTTCAGGGCCTTCAGGAGTGCCTCCTGGTTTCCATATACATAGCTGTGTGAGGCTAGACTTTCATCAGATTCTTCAATACAATATACTGCAACAGATCAAATGCTGAAGCAGACACAAGAATGCAACTACAGGCATGCCTCTTTTTAAAAAAAAATATTTTATTTATTTTTAGAGAGATGGGAAGGGAGAAAGGGAGAGAAACATTAATGTGTGGTTGCCTTTAACATGCCCCCAGCTGGGGAATCTGGCCTGCAACCCAGGCATGTACCCTGACCAGGAATAAAACCGGCAACCCTCTAGTTCACAGGCCTGCGCTCAGTCCACTGAGCTATGAGCCAGGGCCAGGCATGGCTCTCTTTATTGAACTTCACTTTATTGCACTTTACAGGTGTTGCATTTTTTACAAAGTGAAAGCAAGATGCTCCACCAGCAAAAAGATTACAACTCACTTTATTGCAAAACTTGCTTTATTAATGTTTGGAACTGAACCCACAATATCTCCCAGGTATGTCTGTATCTTCTTTTCCCCTAGGTCACGTCCTTTCAGTTATCAATCTGCTTATAATCTAAAAATGGGCCCAGGATCCTGGTCAGAATCTGACTTTCTTCTGACCGATGCTAGTAATCTATCCCCTCTTAGAAATTTGCTACCTTAGAGCTCCTTTCTCAAGGGAGCTCAAACATTAAAAAGTGGAATTGACCTAAGATCAACAGGGGCTCATAATCTTAGGGCTTGATTGTTCTACCTGTTAGTGTGAGTTAACATCCTACAGCCAATCTTGGCAGACTCTTAAGGGGACCCATAGCTGTTGGCTGCCATTCAACATCTTTTAGTCAGCACTTCCCAGCCATGGGGACTCTGGGATGTTCCCCTTTAGGAGACTCCCAGGGTTTGATTCCTCAAGTAGACAGGTTGGCCGAGTCTTTCAGCCTCTGGACAGCTCAGTATTATTCCCTTAATATAATACTTGTAAAGAACAGCTCAAAGCATTTATCTACCTCTCTAGAAATATCTAAAATGTCTAGCTCTCAAGTCCTCTAAAGTTGTACAAAAGTAAGCTTAATACTGCATGTTACCACACCCCTGCTATATTTTCTCCATAGCACTTACTACCACTAAATTTTTATTGTTTACATATGTATTATGTCTCTCCTCCCCCATAAGAGTCTCCTTAATGGACTGTCTTGTTTATTACTGTGCCTGGCACGTTTATACTCAATAAATCTTGGCTTTATGAGTAACAAAGTAGAGACAGAGCATTTGATTGACAGTTAATCTAAAGTCTGTGTCCGAGGTAAGAAGGTAACTGGAAAGAGCAAGGCATTGGTCTAAGGGCACAGGAGAGTCCGTATGACAAGACCCTCTTTGGTTCCTGGCATAGGAATTGATGACTTTGGAATTATGTGGGCCCCAGTTTGACAAACAGACTAGCCATGAAGAGTAGATATTGGAATGCCAGACAAAATTTTTTACCCTAGGAGTGGTTCTATTTATTTTATTGGTAACTTAATAGTGTATGGAAAGCAGAATATGATGACAAGTCTTCCTTCTAGTGAGTGGGATGAAACAGACTGGGGAAGTTGAAATATGAAAGATGAAAATAGAGCCCATGGATTCCATTCTCCGTCTGTGGGCTGGTCTCACTGAGGCTGGCATAAACTATAATTGGTGTGATTTAAAGATAAATCCAACCCTCTATTTTTTCCCCACAAAGCCACACACAGTAAATAATACATTACTTTGAGAATCCAAAGGTGGGGGGTTGGAGGGGTACAGGTGCACTTGAAATGCTCTGAATGGAAATTTCCGTAGTGAGAATGGGCACTGAAAAATAACTATGACATAAGTCATTTCAGCAAACCACGAGTAGAAGCTACAAAAATATATATATATCAACTATAATGTCTAGGGCCATCTTGTTCTCATCTCATCTCTCTGATATCAGGTGGGTGAATAATTATGCCTTGCTTCTTTCAACACACACACACACACACACACACACACACACCCTGTTCTCACTAGCAAAATCCCAGCTAATGCACTGTACTGGATTGCATCTTGAGGACACCTATGTAAATGCAGAGGCTCTTTCTGAGTCCAAGGCAGATTTAAGGAATGTCCTGGAGTATGTTATGTTTTGTTGTGTTTAGCTTCAGACAAACAGAAACTATATTTTATAAATTAAATCTCTCTCTGGTAGAATTTTTATGAGCAATAGCAGAAAATGGGTTAACAATCACCTAATACTTCTAACCAAGGCAAAAAATACTGGATTCTGTGGCATTTGGAAGATTTTGAGAGTAGGTTGCCATTATTTCATGTGGTATTTAGTAATGGGCACGCAATAAAAATAAGTTTTCTTCAAATAGCCTCTTCTGGAATCTAAAGGATGCCAGTTTTATTTGGAAATCATGCTGACTCCTTAAAGGAGATTTATCAGATTTTCACTAGTTTTCCTAGGATTAATTTGGGTAGATACATGTATGGAATGATAAGACAGGCAAAGAAAGTATCCAGAGGATATCTCCTGCATTTGTATAGAGAAGATTGTAGGGAACATGAAGGCTGTTGGGGGATACTGAGGAATGATGTCAGAAAAAAAATTGAAAAGTATTTTATGAGGATATGGACAAATATAAGACTTACAAATTCATAAAATCAGAACTGAAACCACACTTATTTTGTCCACAGTGAATGTTTTCTCCATTTGTAGAAAAGCTATAGTCAATGAACTGCTGTAGAACTAGAAACATGTAAATAAAGTGAGACCCTTTGCTGTCAGGCTGCTCATGTGCACAGAACAGATTTGCAAAATTTCCACCTGTTTTCTCCGCATCTTTATTTTATCTCCCTTTATACCATCTTTTTAGAAAATTAGCTAAAACTGCATTCTCACAGCAGACCAGAGTACTATTTGTATTACTAAATGACTCTTTTCCTGTCTAAGGATGCCTGACAGACTTTATTTAAAGTAACATGTCCCTGTACTACATTATGTAGATAATTATTTGACAATAGACTGGAGAAGCAGGGATGAGGAGCAGAAATTTAAAACTAAACCTAATGCCAAGAGAAAATGAATGAAAACGGGAGAAAAGAATTTTAAATTTTTTTAAAAGATTTATTTACTTTTAGAGTGGAAGGGAGAGAGAAAGAGAGGGAAACATCAATGTGTTGCCTCTCACACACCCCCTCCTGGGGACCTGGCTGGCAACCCAGGCATGTGCCCTGACTGGGAATCAAACCAGCAACCCCTTGCTTTCCAGGTGGGCACTGAAACCACTGAGCCACACCAGCCAGGGTGCATTTTACGTTTTTGATATAAGTGAATGAAAAATAATTGTTTAAAAAACTGACTCTAATTGATGCAGATTTCTTTTGAAAGACCGTTAACATTTATGTTTTTTTCTCCCATTAGACATATTGGGGGACAGAGAGAAGCAGCACCACCTTAGTAAATGTATTCTAGACCTAACAATTTGTGATTTGTCAATTGCATATTTTGTCCATCATCCTGTCCATCATCAGTAATCTGAGCTGCTGAGGGTTTGCTGATATAATTAGTGTTACACTGTCATAATCCTACCTCAATGTTACTAATATTATATAGGGATGGTACTTTCACTTTAACTTGAAAAGTAAACAGTTAATAACCTGGCTTCTTTCTGGTCTCTTAAATAATGAAATTATTCCTTTTAAAAGAGGAGTGAGTTTGGCTCACATACATGTACACAGCCCAGAAACCTGTTAAAAGATCCAGTGCCATTACAATTATACTGCTATGCTAGATACCATTACTGATTTGCAGGCTCATTAACTCAAATACTACCCCTCACAGTCTTCCAACAATTTCAGTTCCACTTTGATTTAGAGATGTTTTTGAGCGCATTTTGTGTTAATCCATAAACTTTATTCATAATTTTGTCATGGACTAGAAATCAGCACTTAATAAATGAAAAAACCAAGATACTGAAAAAACTTGCCTTTTTAAAAGTAGTATAATGCAAATTTTCCACAGGGGCCCTGCCATACTTTTTAATTTATGGTAGTGTGTATTTATCGAACAATCAATATCCATACACTTACCACTTAAATGTGTGAGTTGTATAGAGAATCATACAGCAACATTAAAAAAAATAGTTTCAGCACTGTACTCATTTCCGAGTTTCTAGGAGTTTATCTGCGTCAAAGGCAAGTAAGTGAATACAGAGCTGGGGAAAAGTAGGTAAATTATCAGCTATCATTACCTAAAAGATACATCATAAGGATACAAAATAATAACGACAATAATAAAAAGACAAATAATACAAATAGTACAATAGTTGACAATACATAATACAAGAATATGTTTCAGTATTCACTAATGTAAACCTATTTGCCCACCCCATATGATCTCCTTAGTCTTTAACGTTAATTTAATCAAATGCTCTTCCCTCCTTCCCCCTTATTTTGAACAGTTACTTTCAAAGCTTGAGAGACATTTCTTTGGCATTGCAGAGACCTTAATAGTGATAGTAGCAGTGGGATAGTACTGTGGAAAGTGCCATCTCTATGCCACATTCTAACTTGGTGCCCTTTAGCCCTCTCTAAAACAGAAGCTGTTGATGTTTTAAAAGTTTGAAATTATTTCTACTAAAGTGGATACATATTATCCATAACTACTAAGTAAAGGAATATCGATAAAATAGGATACCCCATAATATGAAAGGCTTTCTCTTACAAACAAGTTCTTGCACTCTTTCTTTTAAATTATGGTCTTATAGAAGGCATTGTATTGCCTTTTGATAAGTTACTTAAAACATAATTGTATGCTAATACCATACATTGTACTAGATGCTTAGGAGCCAGAAGGATCTGTTCCACTTAGTGAAATCCGAACAAATGCAACTCAGAGCAAAGGCTTTTTCTTTTCTTTTCCAGAACTGATTTTTCTGGCTGTCTCCCTTTAAGCATATCGGGGGCTTCGGGGTTATTTCCGGCAAACCCCGCCTCTTCCAACCCTCAGTTTAACAGAAGCTCCTGGGTAGCCGGAGGATGGGTTTAGGAGCGCGCCTCCTCACATTTTACCTTTCTTCCTAAACAAGGCCAGGAAGTGACAGAAACGGAAATACCAGGCTCCTCCGGCTGGACCCGTCCCTCTCCCTCAATTTACTTACAGCTTTTGCTCCCCGCTTACCGTCAAGCCCTTCCTGCGACCTCCACAATTACCTGCACCAGTGCCTCACACCCAGTCCGCCTCCAGTTGGCTGCCAATCACAGGCTTCTGCAGGTCCTGTGCTACCAAGACACCTCCTTTTTGGCTTCCCTGGTCCCGCCCTCTCCAGAACTGCTTCCCGCCCTTCGGACTCATTGTCCAATCAGCAACTACTGAGTGTTCCTTGGTTCCTGCCCCCTACATCCCCGCCTTCCTGATGTCTTGCGCCCTTCTCTTAAACCTGAAAGAATCACCTGACCCGGAGGCTCTCCCTCTGAAAGAAGGCAAGAAGGGGCGTGTGTGCGGAGGGGAGGGGTCCTGGAAGAAAAAAGGGGGATGCCGGGAGTGGGGCGGGGAGAAGGTTTGTCAATCCGATCTCGCGAGAGACGACGGAAGCCTGTGGGAGCCCGTGGCCTTTAAAGTGCCGTTCAGCCCTTTCCTCCAAGGGTAGTTTGTAAACACGGCTGAGCTCAGGCCTCCCTGGCGACTGAACGAAGCATGAATTAGTGTCTTAGAAAGGTGAGTAGTGGTGGGGAGAGGGCCGCAGGACTGGAGACTGTAGGGATACGGAGAAAGAAGGCTCTAACATGGCGACGTCGTTCACCATAGTCCCCACCCCCCCGCTTCCCATCACCTCGGGCGCTCCTGCCTCGGTGCCTAACCCTCGGGGCCGCTGTGACTGTGCTGCCACCTCAGCATCCGCGCAGCGTCGGCCTTAGGAGCCGGACCGCAGAGCCAGACCGTTAGGTAACAGGCGTTCGTTGTTCCGGCCCCTCCCCGCTCGCGCGCTTTCCTAACGAAGAAGAAAAAGGAATAACGGCTCCTCTTAGACCCCTCCCCCCAATTTATCTTCTTCTCTGGTCAGTTCAGAGGTTCATGGGCAACACGTCGGATATGCTCAGGGATCAGAGTGATCACCTCTTCAGTCCTTGGATTGACCAGGAAGAGGGTTGGCTCTGGCCTCCCCACCCCAGGACTCGGTGGGGACTGAGGTTGGGGACTATGTCTTTGATGGTGGTAGGGATGAGGATAGGGAGGCGCGGCTGAAAATAGGGTCAGGGTCTCTTGTTGCGGTGGAACATGCTGGAACAAATGGTATGCAGAACCAGGGAGTTGGTAGTCTTGGCCTTTTATGTTCTATCTGCCCCCTCACACTCCCGCCACCCCCACTTTTTTACGGTGGGGCGGGGCTGAGATGTGGGTGCGTATTGATTCTTGCATTTCCCCCCACGTTTTACCTCCCTGGGTGGACTGCAGAGTTCCCGTTGGAAAATAACCTGTGCTTTTATTGATGCCTTAGGGACCAAAGCGCTATGTGTGTGTGTGTGTGTGTGTGTTCTGAGTTCCCTTGTTGAACCGCCCCTGGAAGGAGGGAGTGAGTGGGGGAGCTGGGGACTATTTGCGTGCTCTCAGGTAGTGTAAAATTGTCTTCGCTTAATGGGAAGTCTTAAAACTGAAAGCCAAGAGTAGCACTACAGTGCATGTGATGGAGTAAAAGAGATTACACCTGATGGAATTTGGCCTATTGACTAATCCGTAAATTCTAATGTGAAAGATACAATTTCTTAGGGATTTTAAATCATGGAAACGGTAACAATGTATAAATCTAATGCATATATTTGAATTCAGAACAAAAACTTCCTCTGAGAATATTTTGTCCTATTTGAAGAAATTAATCATCACTGGCATTGTCAGTAATAGCCTTTTAGGCATAATCTTTAACTTTATAGCCTTGGTCTTTTATACCCAAGCTATGAAGGTGAGAAGCTTGTTAAAAAGTCATCCCTGCGGGGCTAAGTGTCCTGAAAGACACATAGAGTTGCAATTTTACCTTAATTAAATTTGCTACACTGAATTGAGGAATACATTGTAAATGCTTTTTTCAAAATTGTAGGAACATCGATGTAAAGTATGTTAAAAAGAAAATAGATTCCCTTCCTCGGATCAAGAAACAGATTTAAGGAAGTTCATGCATCTTTAAGGCCACCAATAATTGAGTTACAGTTAAGAGTCCTAGTCTTTGCAAAGTAATTATAAGAATCTTACAAATTTTCGGTGCTGTATATGCTGCTTTCATAAAGCATGTTTAATCTTCCTTTGAGCTGTTAACTGCCATTACGTTTTTAATTATTTAAAATATAATACTGTGGTCATTTAGAGTTTAAGTGTTTTTATTTTCATTGTCAGTAAGGAAGGAGCTTTCAGGGACTTTGTGTATTTTTAAGGTACATAATGTCTTCTATAGATGGGATTGTATTTCTTGGAAGTTCTCTTACATACCTTATTAGATTGCTTATTTCATATTTTGGACACTATATTATAATCTGTTAAACATGTATTCCAGAAATTCCTTCATTTACTTTTTTACTTGGAGAATTTCTTTTCTGTTTTTAAAATAAAATAATAGTAGAAATTATTATTATGTCTTTAATATTGTATAGGGATGATTTTTATTGGAAACTACAAATGTCAAAAAATTATATGCTATGCATCAAACTCCTACTACCAGTAACTAGCATTAACTCTCAAGAGATCATCTACATTTTCCTTCCTAAATTTCTGTTTTTTGAAAAAGTTGGGTTTCAGTGATTTATATGTTTTCTTGGTATATTAAATTATTAGATCAAGTTTGTGTATCTTACTATTTGTATTATATTGGGCAATTATAGAATCTCTTTTAAAACCTAGCGAATAACAATAATTGGATATTAAACTGATCCTTATAAAAATCAATACATAGAGTGTTGGGTTGGCCAAAAATCCATATGGTTTTTTACATAAAAGACACATTTTTCATTTTCACCAATAACTTCATTGATTTGGATATTTTGAGTATGTCTGCTATCTCCTACTATTGGCTTCTAATGCTTAGAAGCCAGGGGTGCTGCTAAACATCTTCCAGTGCATAAGACGGCCCCACAGCAAAGAATTATTTGGCCAAAATGTCAATAGTATCAAGAAACTTTGCAAACTACTTTTGACATGTTCGTTCAGTCACAGCACCTTCTCCATACACTGCACAAATCTTTTCTTGAGTTTCAGTTTCGTTTTTACCTTTCTTGAAATAATAAAGCATAATCCTAAAATGCTGTATATTTTCTTCCATCTTCAATGTTAAAATGGCTGCATAAAAATACATCAATTTTAATACATTTTTTAAAATGCATGCTGCTATGACAGTTGTCACAATATGACCTAACAAAAATTGTTTCAAATGAAGTTAAAGACAACTAAGCATTATTAGAGCTATTGTATGGAAAAAACTAAACAAAATTTTTAGCCAACCCAATAATTAGCAGAAGCTATTTGACAAAATACCAAGTGCATTTTGATTATTTTGGAAGTATATATGGTTACTTTCCTGAAATTTATAAATAAGCTCTCTAACTTAAGTTCTTTAGTTTGCCTAACTTGACATAAACCTTTGCTTTTTCAACTTTACAGCTAATCTGAAATTTGGGCTAGTGTTTTTTCTTTATTTATTAAGCATTTGTTAGAATGGTGTTACTAGAAATCAACTTCATTTTTGCCCTATTAACACATTTTTTTAAAGATTTTATTTATTTATCTTTAGAGGGGAAGGAGAGAGAAAGAGAAGCAAATGTATGGTTGCCCTTCCTGCATTCCCTGCTGGGAACTGGCCTTCAGGGAACCTACCTGCAACCCAGGCATGTGCCCTGACTGGAAATCGAACTGCAATCCTTTGGTTTGCAGGCCTGTGCTCAATCAATCCACTGAGCTACACCAGCCAGGAACAAATATTTTTATTTATTATTTTTGTCACCTCCTAATTTGTGCATATACATTACAGTTTTACAGAATTGTAAGAGTTTTATTTTACTTTTATAGCATTAGCATTTTTCCAATGTTATCTGACCTTTGTAATATTTAATGTTTACATGACATTTACTAAATGACTGTTAAAATGTACTCAATTTTAAATTCCCAAACAGGAAAATAATTGTGGCAAAACAGATTTTGCCTGTTTTAACAGTGAACTGAGCATTTCTGTGCATATATCTTTTTACTTATTTTGAATTGCTTCCATAGGATACTGATCTCAAATGAGATTACTAGGTCAGAGGATATGAATGTTTCTACAGATGCCAGTTTTTCCCTCCCCAAACATTTGAGCAAATTTACACCATCAGAATAGGAATGCACCAACTTTGTCATGATTTCACCAACTTTGGAGTTGTATAATTAATAAACATGGAGTACTTAATGAGGAATTATTAATGGGAATAAGTTGTATTGCTGAGTGGTTTGATGTAGTTAACCATATTAATCTGTAGCTATTTGTCTACCCGTGATCTATGCTGAGACATAGTCTATATATTTAGTATTTTCTATCATTACACTGTTTCTCATAAAGATTACCCCAAAATTATTTATTTATTGTTAGACAGAGGGGAAGGAGAAAGAGAGGGAGAAAAGCATCAATATGTGGTTGCCTCTCATACACCCCCTCCTGGGGACCTGGCCTGAAAACTCAAGCATGTGCCCTGATTGGAAATGGAACAGGTAACCCTTTGGTTCACAGGTTACTGAGCCACGCCAGCCAGGGCAGATTACTAAAATTTGTAAGATCTAATAACAATAATTCTTAAATTTTATGCAGTTTTACATAATTCACATATTGTATGTCTTATGCTAGTTTCTAATTTTTTTTAAGATTTTTATTTATATATTTTTGGAGAGAGGGGAAGGGAAAGAGAAAGAAAGGGAGAGAAACAGCAATATGAGAAAGAAACATTGACCTGTTGCCTCCCAAATGCACCCTGACTGGGAACCAAACTTACAGTCCAGGTGTGTGCCCTGACCTGGAATCGAACCAGCAACCCTTCACTTTTCAGATCGGTGCCCAACCCACTGAACCATGCTGGTCGGGGCATTTTGCTGCAATATAAGACCTACTTTCTGAACTATGGATTGATGACCTATTAAAATTCATAGTGACATTCCATATAGGTAACCCTTGAAATAAAGAAAATGCATGTTCTAGCCAAATTGAGTTATTGTTTTTTCAGTACCATTTTTCTGGAACATAGTATGTCATCATTGTTTTGGGGTAGTTATTAGAAACCAGATTATCGTAGGT